CGCACGTCGACCCGAGTCTACGCGCCTAGTCGCCGCAACAGTTACCCTCAGGCACATTTCCTGAGGCGGGGGTTCTCTGACCCTGCTCCCTTCGAAGCGTCACACAGGGCTCATAACCTGTTGAACAATGAAAAGTTGGTCAGACCGGGGATTGAACCCGGATCATCCCATATGCGCTGGGAGGTGTTACCACTACACCATCCAACCGATACTAGAGTGTGAATTCTACAGATTCCAACACTTATCTACCCCTATTCTACTGTGTATATAAGGTCTATTGTATGTACTATGTACGGCACGCGTTTGCACCGGCCAAACGCGAATCTCATTTGTGCCCGCTTGCCCTCGAACTTCTTCATAACTAGAGTCAAACACAGCTCCTTTGACCACCCAATTTTCGTTCTCCCGCAAGACCACGCACCTTCCTTCCTGCCACAGATCTGACTATTCAGACTGATTCAGTACCGTATCCTATATCTACACTATGAATATGAACACGATCGGGGACAACGGAAAGGAGATCATGATCAATCACTGTTAAATCTGCTTATCAGTCGGGCACGGGTCCTTTGGCCAGTGTCACAGATAAGCGTGATTCCCTTCTAGGGATGACAGATGATCTTATCAGCTACGATCAGTGCCTGAGTACTCTTGCTCGTCGTCGTCATCCTCCTCCTCATTCTCCTTTGCACGCTGCGCCACCCTCCCTCGTTGGGAATTGATACACTTGGAATGGAAGAGCGCTTGAGTGTGTGACCCAGCGCCTGATCAATGACATCTCCTGCGTCCAAGTCGTGAAAACATCTTTGATCCCTTTCGGATGTGCATGCTGATAAGGGTTTTATATGTCTCAACTTGAATACATACATGCTACGTACCTTGTCTTAAACAACGGATGTTATCAAATAATTACATCGATTACAATCACTGGAATACATTTTGACACAGCAGCTTTTTGGTCTCGAAACATAGTCTTGTACTGTGATTTAGCACCAAACCCCACGGAACGTTGGAATAATATACACCGGAAAAGTATCTACTCGACTGGGTATACATGTACGCAGAGATGCCACTGCGGGGACGGGAAAATGCCAACTGGCCAAAGGACCCATAGTGGCCAAAGGAGCCATAGAAGACTGTAATCATCATGACATCAGCAAAGATGTCGAATCATTGTAATGTAGGTTGTATTGGCAATATAAGGAGTGTTTATATCAGCTTTCATTGTAACACTAGTCTTAACGAGATAGGTGGTCTATTGGCATTAGATATGAGAGCTTAATATTTGTGATCACTGTAGTATATCGGGCCGTCATCATATTCAATAAGCTTGCACTGGAACACATGGGCGTGCTCAGCCAGGGATTATCATGTGAGTAGGGTGTTCTAGTGCCATTAGCATCGTACACTTGGTCAAGTAGTGGTTTGGCGATGTGCATCCATCGCAAGCACACTGCCCGAAAACCCGATACGATATCACACAGGTATATACGCGAAAAATCGTATTAAATTATGTTAACTACAACACAATAAGTTCATGGGAACGGCCACACGCCCTTGGTCTCGCTGACAATCCGCATGATGCTCTCCTCTGCCTTCTTCGCTGTTCCGATCTCCGAGCTCACAGGTGCTGGAGGAGTCGAGGGAAGCACAGAGTAGAACAGCTGGAGGAGGTGCGACACCCCGACTTCGGCCATCTCGGACATTGCAGCGGGAGTTTGGGAGTAGGATACGGTGAGACAAGAAGACTGGAGGGACGAAAGGATAGGACGTACGTGGGTGTGCCGGCCAATGTTGATCGAGGAATAGATGGAGCCGAGGAGAGCAACTGGAGTCAACCCGTGGCCAAGAACGAGGGATAGCGCTCATCTCAGCGCAGCGCGTAATGCACCTTCCCACACGTATGCAGGGTATTAGCATAGTTGTCTTTGCCAAGCAGCGAGAAGTAAGCACATACCTGTCATATGGCCCAGCTCAATGCATCCAATCTACTGCATATGTGCGACGAAAAAGACATGTCAGCTACGGCGAACAGACATACATCCAAGACACCGGACAGAAAGACATAAGGGCTACATGGGGTGACAGCGCAGAAACAAGTCAGATCCTGAAACACATCTGCAGACGGGCCTGGTATTGACGTCAAGGGAGAGAGCACCGGTAGGGAACCTGCAAAGGGTGAAGGACACATCAGCAAAACCAGCAAATAATGGTCTGGCATGGCCACGGCGCCCAAAACTGGCCCACCCTGTCCGGAAACCGCAAGCGCCGCCTGATTCTGGTCAACTCCCATCTCGCATGATGGAATCTGGCCATCGAGCATCTGCGCGGATGGATCCCGGCAATGGTAGACAGGTATTTATCTTACACTGTCACTTCATACCAGATACTCGTCATGAGACAAAGTGCAGATAACATAACAGTATGCAAGGCGCCACGGCCGCCTCTTCGAAGGTCTTGAAGATGATCAAGATGTCCGGACGTAGCATCGGAGCATGCTTGTTGATTGTGAGCGTCTGTCCAGTGTGGTGACGTTCCCTTCACGATCCTCACCCTGTCTTCTTTCTACATACACTCTCCACAGATAATCCTCTTGAGCTTGCTCATCGATGACGCGGATTCTAGGCTTGCGACTCAATCAACGGCCTGTCATTTTGCTAGCCCTGCCCTGAACTCCCACTTCCAAAACCCCCCGCTTCTCGACGTTGCGACTGCATCCCTCCTTCATCACCCGCTACAACGTCCCAATTCTACTACGTGCCCCCTAGGCTCTGATGTTTGTGAGTTGTGCCATGAATGCTGTAGCTACTAATGTCTAGGTTCCACTCTACATCTCAGAAAGGTATGTACAATGTCGTGGTCGTCGAGGCTCAGATTGTGCATGTTTTTGGGGTCTGCTGCTCTTAGGACTTGAGGAACGCCTCGGTTACTAGGTGGTGAGCCTAGCAGTAAGTCACTTTGGCTTAGGCATTGGTGCCCTTGTGTCTCAGGATCTTGTGCAGCGTCCAGCCCTACAAACCCTAACCCCGCCTGATTCTGCGCATAGTCTTTACGCCTCCCTTCTTTATGCAAATAGTCTGTGTCTAATTATTATTGATTATTGAAAATACAAACTCCGATCGTGTGATAACTTGTCGGTTAACACTCTTCGTGAACAAAATAAATGTCTGTACCGTAGCGTGAGCTCGGGCACCCATGGTAGGAATTGCACCAAGTATTGACCATCTAAGCACATTGGCCCAGTCATTAATGTACACTATCGGCCAGAGTTCTGCCGCGGTACGGTACTCGAAGACCATATACTCCGCTAGAAGTGACAACCAGCGCCCAGCCGCCCAGTCACGTCTGGCCATGCCCGGTGATTCCTCGCGGTTCTCTACCAACTTTCGCCATCCCTTGGTCGTACCTTGCAAATCTTGCCGGTAAGGCGGAACTTGGCCATGCCCGACCATACCTTACACCAATTTGCTGATGCAGCAGTGCGCCCAGAAAGAAGAAGCAGCCTGGGCCGATGTTGTGGGGCGACCTTGTTCAGGTATCGTACGGTGCGTCAGCGGTGATAGTGTCGGCCCAGTCAGAGTTTTGAGCATGTCGATGGTGGGAGAGAGGAGAGGGGCAATGAATGACCTGTGCATGCGCCCGGGCTTTTGAGAAAGAAGACAAAGTGATTGACAGGTCGCAACTTATGACCTCATGCATGCCAAACGTTCCCCCCGTATTGAGACTGGCCACGATCTGCAGCCTCAACCCTAACCCATGGCTCTTGTACCCACGAGCCATCGATACGCTAAGGCAATCGCCAAGAACGTATGACGAGGTGGTCATTAATGCAGCCGTTGACGACTTGGCAGGGAGCGCAGGAGCATCAGACACCGATTGTGCAGTGGACTTGCGAGTAGCCATGGACTTGGTCGAGATCATCGAGCGTACGGACGCGGTACAAGCCGTTGGACGGTCAATGTCGACATCAAGGAAGCCGCACACGTCTTCCGTGTCCTCCCCATGCTACTTTGTGTTGGTTCAGAACGCGCTGCCTTGAACATAGTTCTCACTTGCTGTCATATTGGACGAAGCTGGAGAGGAACCGGGCACTGTTCTGCCGGGATTAGTAGTGCCTGCACAACTGTTGATGCAGTCGATCGTGTAGATCTAATTGATGCAGCCATGGGCTTGGATAGAGGGACTCGATCAACAGCTGCCGTAGAATGCATGCCAGTGGAAAACGTAGAGCTCTTCCGTATGCTCGCGGTAGAAAGGCGACTTTGAGGCATGGGGCTTGGACTGGAATACACGGGCACTTTGCTTGTTCTGAGCCCAGAAGGCTGACGTGTGAAAAAGAAGGGGCGGAACTGACCTTTACATCCGGCCCACAGCTGGTCGGTGAGAGCGGTGCCCAACGAGCGATGGTGGTAGTGGTGACGCGTGAGATTCTGGAGTGTGCGGGAGCGGGTTGATGCAGTCGAGAAGTTGGTAGTCCTTGTGTTGCGTGCGGATGCGCGCTTGTCTGCGTGGCACACGAAGAGCCGACCCGCATTTGTCGTGCCCGTGTAGTTTCAATCCTGTATGCATGTCAAAAGATGGTCATTCTATGATATTATATGGCGAGCTTCTTGTATGAAATGTCATTGTCATCAGACTCCCCGACAGCCTTGTTATCGCCTCGCCCCACCCACGGTTTGCAATGGCGAGCTTAGGTGTTGCAATTCCCAGCTTGCCATTTTAGGCGTTACCAATCTTGCCACGCATGGCATTGCCGCTGGCACGGTTTCGCACATTTGCTGATGGACCGGTCAAGCTGGTCAAAATCGGTCATGGCTTCGGTCATGACAGCGGTCATAACAACGCTGCACGGTCAGCAAACCCGTTGTACAAAGGACTACACATCGATACTTGGACTCGGGAGCGCAGCCTACATATTATGAGTTGCGCCCAAGGTGGCACCGTCAACTTCAGGGCATGATCAGCCACACGCGATCGGACGTAGCTGTCAATTGTTGAAGGATAGTTGTAAGCAAACCAATATAAAGCTTACAGTATCGAAACCGATACGATACGAGCACGATGGCATCACGAGCAGTATGATAGCATACAGGACGAACGCGGAAGGAACCTGAGTCCGGTCGGGATCTATAAGCAATTAAAAGGCATAACTGCACGAATTGCTATTTGAACGGTGTCACCACACGGCCTTTAAGGCTTCGTACTAAACGAGTGGCATTGTGAAGGTGGTATAATAGTAGATAGTTAAGGTAGCACCGTGCGTGTCGTGAGAGGGAAGCGAAAGGATTTGGGCTAGATACGTTACGTCTATCGTAAGGGGTACACCTACACCTTGGCAGCGAAGCAAGCCGTCTTGACGCCGTGTAGATGGACGAGTGCGGCGCGCGGCTTGGAGGTGGTAGCAGTCATAGAGCAACGCGTTATCGAGCCAATGAGCTGCTGGCACGCATCTTCTCGCCATAGAACCACAGCCAAACCGGGAATGGAATGCCGAGCGCGATGGCCAACCCTGCAAGAAGGGAGTTCCCTCCTCCGATGCCGAGAGCATCGAACATCTGGCTGCCAAACAGGGGGAACGCGAAACCGAGCATCGACCGGAAGACTGATGCGGCGGCTAAGGCGCTTGCTGCGAACGTAAAGGTGTCGACGAGGTAGAGCTGGATAGGCAGGCTAGACAACAAATCTCGTTCAGACACTCCTGCGAGAGCAAATGTACCGCTCGGACTCACAAGGTTGTCATCATCCCGAATCCGAAAATACCGGTACCGATGATTGGCATGATCCAGTGGATACGGGCTTGCACCGACCATCCGTACCAACTAGCGGGGATGTCAGCCGATGTGATGCATGCATACGCATATAGCTGGACCTACAACACGCCAATAGGTACGAAAAAGGAGCCGAATATGAGGGATGGGATCCGGAATTCAGGCTTGCCTTTGCCATGTTTCCTGGCCAGCTACAAGGCACCAAAAGGATTTCAGATTTTGGGCACTTCGGGCACTGCTGATTACCTAACGGAAAACGTACCCTAGAGTATATGCCGTCGGAAACCCATGCACCGAACAGCGTCGCGAGGAAAAATCCAACACCGAGCCCGATGTAAGCCAGACCACCCACACCAACGCTGAAACCGTAGATGCCAGTGAAAACATCTAGCAGAGGTGTCAGCGGACAATGGCAGGTAGGTGAGCAGCTGACTCACCCGGGAAGATGGCGAACATGAGGTAGTAGATTCCTGTGGTTGCGTGTCAGCAATTTGACGGTTAGCACCCAGGTCAAACAGATGGCATACCATACATCCTGTAGGAAACGGAATTTGTCAGCATGAGGACGGCCGGTCGGAAATGGGACCAGCAGAAACTCACAGAGCCATGTATGCGCTAAGCAAGAAGCAGATGATGCTTCTCGTGAGGAGGATGAATGGCCGCGTCAGATCAACCCACAAACGATGCATACGGTTACCATGCTCTTGTACGAGATGGGGATGCAGCCGGGCAAGGGCCTCCGGATCTCCGGACTTCTTCGCGCGACGCAGCCGGATGACGGGATGATACGTCTCTCGCAGGAAGGGGATACCGACGACGGCTGCGACAGCGCAGAGACCCGCAACGACGATGAATATATACTTGAAGCCAATAGTCTGCGCGATGAAACCTCCGGCTACTGGGCCAATGACAGGCCCCAATAGCGGTCCCAGCGTGTAGATGGCCATAGCAGACGCACGCTCCTTTTCTGAGAACAAGTCGCTGATGGAGCCGCCACCGCACGCGATCGGTGCGCTGCCTGCGAATCCGGCTGGAAGATTGTTCTCTCAGTGCCCGCCGAAGGAAACTTGTCAACGGATGACGTACCTAGAATACGGAAGCCAATCAAGTCCGCGGCCGTTGGGGCATAAGCACATCCAAACATGAAAGCCAGGAACAAGAGGTTATTGATGTGCAGCACCTGATGAGGTTGTTAACTTAGCCATGACCCTGTCTGCGGTTGATCAGTGGCGACATACCCATGTACGACCGTAGATCTCTGACATTGGCGCGAGGAACAGAGGTCCAATCGCGAACGTCGCCAGAAACACACTGAGCGTGGCAGCAACTTCAGTCTTGCTCGTGATGTGATAATGTTCAGCAATGTCCGGGAGCGCAGGGGCCATCATAGACGATCCTAATGGGGTGACAAATGTGTACAATGACACCTACATGGCGGATGATAACTATTGGGCCCGGGTAACATAGCCTTGAGGGTGAAGTGAACTTACGATGCAGGCCATAGTCCATTTCTTGCGTGTTGACCAATTCCTGGGATTAATGGGATCATGCGCCCAGTCATCCTCGGCGTTTTCCAAGGCTTCCTCCTAAACCCCCGCCCGATGCCGTTGATGTGAGCTCACGGGACCTGCATCGTCCGAACGTGGTCGTGCGACAACGCACCTTCTTATCCTCAGGAAAAGCGGACAGTCCCTCACCACCCCGCAACTTGCTTGCATCCTGCGCCTTCTCCACGTCCACAGCATCGACATCGGCACCTGTCGTCACCTGGGCAGATACATGGGTATTCGACGAAACTGTGGGGGTTCTGGACGCCTGACGCTGCTCGGCAGGGAGCTCACTGTCCTGGTTGTTAGCCGGCATCGACGGACAGGACGTCGGACGGAGGGCAGAGAAGATCAGGATAGACACTGGGGTCCGTGCGGCGCGGGGAGCAGTTATATATGTTCAGAGCGCATCGAGTGTCATCTGGAATTTGTAGCATGTTCGTTCGCCCCGAACGGCCCCCCGGTACTAATCCCTATCCCGGAAGAGACACTATTCAGTGTTACGTAACGTTATTCCGGCCCTGTTAATGCGTTGTCCCGTCAGCAAGCTTTGCAACAGACCGTTGCGATCGTGTCTTTCCCAGGGCAGTGGCCACGCTGCCCAGATCTAGTCACCTTCAAACACCAGATCGTCATCCGCACCCGCCAATGACCAGCGACCTTCCCAGGCACCCTTCCCACCACTCTCGCGCCGTGGCCCACGGGCCTGCTATGCGCCGCTTGGATCTTCAACTGATCACGATAAACGAGTGTGATCCTTCAACAACGCCGCAGCTGTGTATGTACAAAGCATATCGAGTCCATACTATCAAATAACCGAACTCATACGACGCTGTATCTGCCCGCGGTGGCGGTAGGGTTGCGCATCTCCGCTTGCAGAGCGGCAGCCGACGCCTCCACCAGCAACCGCTTGATCTCTCTGACGGCTTGTTCGACCTGCCGAACGCCAGATCAGTCCAATTCACCGTTAGCCAAACGACATGACCACTCACCCTCCACTCCTCGTTCGATTCAATGAGCAAATGCAGCTTGGGTGGCCCTTCTGGCGGAGGTTCCTTCCCAGGCTCGTAGTAGATGCCTATTGAAAAGACACCAGTAAGCAACATTGTCCCATGGCCTCGAAAATCGGAGTCGAAATTAGACGCACCTTTGTTCGTCACCGATGCGCCCGTCATATCGATGAGCTGCAGTGCAGAGGTAGCGCTGATCAGCGCCTGAACAGCGATCCAGCAGACGAATACCATGACTGACCTGGACCATCGTCTCCTTGTTTGTGACGCGCCACCTTGCCTTCTGGGGGTAGTCGTTGATCGGGATGATCGCGTGGAACTCGGTCGCGTCTATCGCGGGCCGCTTGCTGGTCAGCTCTTCGTGCTGTATTTGCGACTGCGCCACGAGCTTGTGCGCCCGCAACTGGGCGTTGAGCTTGGCGACCACACTCAAAGCCTGCTTATGCGCCGCAGTGTCCTTCCCTGCGCGCTCGGCTGCCTCCTGCGCTGCACGAAGAGAATTCTGAAGCTTCTCTTCTTCCTTGGCCTGCGCGAGTCGCCTTGCGGCCGCTGCCGCACCTGCCACACCGAGAAGACCCTTCGAAGAGTCGGGGGCTGGACCGCGCTTCACTTCGACCTTGAAGTTGCCGAAGGTCATGTCGTCGCCTTCCTTCTTGGTCTCGACTGCGGCTTCCTGTTGTTGCTTCTCTTCCTCGGGCTCACCGTACGCCTTACGCTCCGCCTTCTCCTTGGCGTCGCGCTCCTGCTCAAGACGGTCAAGACCCTTGCCTCCAAATCCGGAGCCGGCGACTTTAGCTTTCCCGGACTTGACCTTCTCCAGGAAGCCTGAGAAATATATCAGATTAGCGGCAGTCGGGAGCGTCAACGTAGAAGGCCCACATACCATTGCTGAGATCTTCGAGTTCCTTGGGTACCGCTGCGTTACTCGCTTTCAGCGCACGATAGATGTCAACTGAGTATCTGTCCTGCTCTGGCGTGATGAACGTCACGCATGTTCCCTTGTTGCCAGCACGGCCTGTGCGACCGGCGCGGTGGACGTAATCCTCCATGTGGTTCGGGGCGTCGTAATTGATTACGAGTTTGAGCTGCTTGACATCCAGACCACGAGCTGCGACAGAGGTCGCGATGACGATGGGTACGACTCCGGACTTGAAGTCCGCAATCGTAGAGTCTCGGTCGACCTGGTCCTTACCACCGTGCAAGGACATGCAAAGGTAGCCTTTGCGCATGAGCTCGCGGAGGAGATTGTCAGCACCCTCTTGCCTGTCGACGAAGATGAGCGTTCGACACTCAGGGTCCTCGTTGTAGGTCTGTCCGAGGATCTCCAGCAGGCGATTGAACTTGCTCTCCTCGTCACGAACCTCGACAATTTGCTCGATCTCCGGGGCGACGACCGACCGACCACCGACGGTGATTTCGAGGGGCTTGCGAAGGATTTTGCGCGCGAGCGAATCCATCTGCCGCGGAAAGGTCGCAGAGAAGAGGACGGTCTGGCGGTCGGGTCGGATATTGTTAACGATCTTCATGACCTGAGGCTCGAAGCCCATGTCAAACATACGATCGGCCTCGTCCAGGACCAGGTAAGTGACACGTTTGAGATTGGTGACGCGACCTGAGTTGGCTGTCAGAAGGTCAATCATACGTCCGGGTGTACAGACGATGATCTCGGCGCCCTTCTTCATCTCAGCAATCTGATCTTTGATGGGAGAGCCACCATACGCACACACAGCCTATAGGAGGAAATTAGGGGAAGCTCAAAGTAAGCAAAACGACGGCACTCACGCGAAGACCAAGAACGCGGAGGAAGGGCTTACACTCCCTGTGTATTTGCACCGCGAGCTCACGAGTAGGGGTCATGACCACAGCGACAGGACCCTCCATCTGCTCGAGCGGTCGCTGATCCTTAATATGACGGAACATGGGGAGCAGGAACGCAATAGTCTTGCCTGAGCCCGTCTTGGCCACACCAATGACATCACGGCCAGACATTATCGCAGGGATAGCTTGAGCCTGGATGGGTGTGGGAGCGGCGTACCCAAGTTTCTTGATGACCTCGAGACTGAACCCTCGTTAGCATCCAGCTTCTGAGGGAACAAGCAGCTACACTCACCATGATGCGGGCAGGCCGAAGTGGCTCCACTTGGTAACTGGTCGAGGGCAGTCAAGCCCACGGATTTTGATACCATCAAGCTCGAGACGCAGTAGCTCCGCCTCTTCGTCAGTCATCTCAGCAACATCCGGTGGAGCAACGTAAAACTCCTTGCGGAAGGGCTCGTAAGCGACGCGGGAGTGATCAACAGCAGCCAGGTCTTTCTTCTTCGCCTTTTTCGCGGCCAAAGCAAGAATATCTTCCGGATTGAGGTCCGTCGCATCGAGCTCGTCAGGATCAGGTCCTTGTTCATCTCCCTCATCGGCCCCGGGCTCGTCTAAGCGAACTCCAAGGCTGCCTGTCGTCTTCATCTTCTTCAGATCCTCCAAGTTCACCTTCTTCACCTCCTCCTTGACGCCACTCATGAACGCGTCGAGGGGGTCGATCTCATCGTCCTCGTCCATGGCTTCAGCAACCTTGGCTTGTGTGGTGGTTGCGTCGTCATCGTCGTCCGCTTCAAGGTCGCCAATGTTGGACCCTGCGTCAGTCATCGTCATATCCACATCGGGGAGGTCAAGCGTCTGGAGCTTCCGTTTTGTTTCAACGGAATCATCGAGCAGTGATGACTTAGACGTCTTGAGCAGCTCAGGCTTCAAGGGGAGACCCTTCAAACCGAGACTGGTCAGAGCTGAGCGGTTGAGCTGCGAGCCAGTCGGCCCGTTCGTTGCTGCAGCAACTGCAAAGAGAGGATCAAGTGGTGTGAAATCTTGAGATACACGACAGCAGCAGATCTAACTCACCTGGGGCAGTTTTACCAGCCAGCGCCATAGCCTTGACTTTCGCCTCATCCAATGCCTTCTTCGCATCACGCTCCTTCTTCCACGCTTCTAGCCTCGCCCTCTTCGCCTTCAGCTTCTCGTCCTCTACCGGGGGTGTCGAGCTCTTGCTATCGGGCTGAGACGGCGGCTGGGTACGAGGCGGGGAAGGAGGTCTGTCGTGGCGTACGCGGTCCCTCGAGCGTGAGCGGCGACGGTCGTCGCGATAGTCGCGGCGGCGGTCGTCCCGATGCCTATCGTCGCGATACCTGTCTCTGTCGCGATGTCCGTCCCGGTCCCGGTCCCTTTCACGCTCGCGCTCCCTATCCTTGTCTCTGGCTCTGTCCCTATCCCGCTCTCTGTCGCGCTCCCTGTCCCTGTCCCGGTCCCGGTGCCCATCACGGTCCCGGTCGTCGTCGTACCTCGATCTAGTGGGTCTTGGGGCGTTGCGCCTGGTCGGCGACGGAGACCGCGGTGAAGAGCGGTGAGACGGCCTTACCCTCTTATTCGGCGAGTCCGGCGAATAGGATCTATCTCTTCGTGCCATCGTGGGTCGTCAGTGGGTAGAGTCTGGCGAGTCGTGCCTCGATGGTCACTGCAAGAAGCGCGGATGACCTTCTGGGCGCTCACATCACTTCTTTGGCAGTGTTGTTCTCGGTACCGCATTTGGAAGCATTGCGTAACGACTGCGTACTTGCGATAGTCGCTTGTGCCGCGCTCATGTGCAGTACAAGTACAAGTACTTGCACTCACTGATCCTCCACCTTCATCATGACTGCAAACGTCCTCGACGCCTCTGCTCTTCTGCAGACACTGCCAACCATACTTCCCCCTGGGAAGAAGAAGCTAGAATCTCAGCAAGATGCGATTACTGCGCTGGTCCACACTGTGCTGACGGTCTTGGGTTTCCGTCTTACTGGCATAGACGAATCTGCACCTACGCGCACATTCGAGAACAACGTCTTGCCTGAGGAGTGGAATCAACATGGTCCTGGCCATTACACTCTCAAGTACAGGCATGAGCAGAGCAGCCTAGACTTTCTTGTGAAAGTAACGAAGCTCGGGAGTCGCACCTTGGTCAACTCAATCGCTGTTGAGGTAAGCATTGTCTCAGACACCGCGGCCACGGCATTGCTGACGCCTATACTCTCCATAGACCGATAAGGCTGCTAGCCTTGACATCCCTACGAACGACTTTACTTCCCCTTCTTTCTTCCCTCGCGAGCTTTCCGAGCCGAGTTCACCGCTCGTGCACGGTTTCATCTCGTCCAACCGCGTAGATGACTTGATCTCCCAGCTCAAACTCACCACGGTGCAGAAACTGATTCCCGGGCTGCGGAAGGAGGGATATACTGAGACCGCTACGGAGATGAGAGCAGGTCCCAGTCAACCACAGCCAGACGCGCCTCCTGCGAGACCGAGGCCAGACGAGCCACCACTCCCTCCTGGGCGCAGCCCCGCCGGTTTCCCGTACCCACGCAATCCTCTCGAGATCGGGAGACGCGATCTGGACCCATTTCCCAGTAACCCCTTTGCTCCTCCCCCGCTTTTCGGAGGCAATGGTGGTGACGGTATGTTCGTTGGCCCCGATCACCCAATTTTCGGAGCTGGGATACGTGGACCTGGCCCGGGTAGGATGGGTCCGTGGGGTGGCGACGGCTACCTCCCTCCTCTGGGCGCACCCCCAGGTGCCCGTTTCGACCCCATCGGTCCTGCGTTTGGTCCTGGTGTACCTTTCCCCGGCCGCATGCCTCCCGGAGGCCGCGGCGGTCCGTTTGGTGGCCAGGACCCCGACAATGATGAGCTTCCACCCCCTGGTTCGGTGAGTAACCTTCCTATTCCGTCGCCCTGCTCTGGCTGACTTCGTCTCACTCAGCGAGACATGTTTATGTAGGATTCTTGGAGGATTCCCATGAAACGTGCATAATTCGCGGGATGTATGTATCGTGCTCTGTACTACCTGCCATATGTAGTTGATCGCTTCTAGCGCTGTGTGTATCATATCGAGTCAGTTGTGCTTGTATTGTGTGTCTATGCAGAGTAGTTCATTCAGGACTGTGCACGCGTTGCGCTGGAGAGCTGCCACAATAACTGAAGCCTATTCTCCAAACTCGGATTTGGCGGCTATATCGGCACTAGGCTGCGGCAACTGCCAGGACCAGAAGCGACTGCGGGTCAGAAGGTTCCGCTCACGTACGTACATCCTGATCGACCAGACGGCCTGCCCCCCCGCTATATAAGATCCCAACGTCTTCTCGCTTCCGAACACATATCTCTACAAGTAACATCCTCCTCACAGTCCCACCGCGCACCCGACTAGACAATCTCAGCACACAAGTAACATGCCACCATCCCCCACCAGAGCCCGAAGATCTACCACGAATGGCGACCTCCCGTCGTTCATGCGGCGTCCCCCGAAGCCGGAAGGAGTCAAAACCATCCTCGCGAGCGCGTCCATCAACAATCTCACCCCCTCGGAGCTGGAAGAGCGGTACAGGCACAACGAACGCATCCTAGCCGAGACGTAAGTGCTTTACTCCGAGTTGTGCGGTTCGCGATCCGTGTGGTAATGTCTAGCCCTCCTCCTTTTTGCCTACGACGCCTCCCTTTGTCCTGTGACCCCCTAGGTCTGCGTCGAGCTCGCATTTCATCAAGCAACTTGAAGACCAGCAGAGCGCGATTAGAGCTCGTCTGAACGATCTCGGTGTGGAGAGCATCCGATCTCAACTCGAGCACACCAAGATCAACGAAGACGAATCTATGACCGTCGACCCGAGCCCGCCACCTCCGCCACAGCTGGAGGAGTACAGGCCTATCGGCGCGAAGGCGCGGGCACTCGCGCGATGGGTGCGTACCTCGGAGTGTCTTCCCCGCGCAGTATGGCTGATATATGCGTAATACCCTACTTAGAATCCTACTGGGCCCAGAGGGGCTCCGGCTGGCGGCATGTCGTATGACGAGGCTGCCAACATTCTACGCGAGTCCTATCAACGAGAGCAAGAGCACAAGGCGAGGATGAACGATAGGCGGAGGAGGAGGGGCGACGTTGTACCTGGTGAGCAGCTCACCCGGGCTGAGATGGATGCGCGAATGCTTGCATTCCTGTACGTTGTTCACTTCATATGTTGGCCTCGTACTAAACACTGGAGCAGCACATACAAACCCACTGACTCCGATCTGGAAGATGACGATGAAGAAGACGAGGACGAAGAGGAAGAGGGCCGTCCGGCGTGGTTCGACGAGGACGACCAAGATGACGGAATCAAGGGGCAAGACATCGTCGAACCAGACTACGAAGACCTATCCACCATCATTAGAATTGACGAGGCACGCATTCCATGGGCCATACCGCGTGAGGAGTAGTAGACGTCCGCATTGCGGTGTGATGTATCTTATATGCGATGTAGCGACTAATCTGTAGCAGTAGACCAAAGTATCCAGGTGCATCGGAAAGATAGCATATAAGCAGTAGTAACACGGGTATCGTAATCCTGACTCGTGCAAATGAGTCTGAATAGTGCCTCAAATCATTCCTTACAGCGCTTTTCAAAACTATTCCGCTGGGCGACAACGGCTCCAGTATGATCTGTGCTGATCCGCCCTATATACAGGCAAATGACGTTGAAATGGACAGCGAGGTCCAAATGGATACTACCTGTTTTGGTACTCAGGCGCCCATTTGGCTGCGGTTGCGCGCAGGCAACGAGCGCTTGACGGGCGCCTGAATACCAGAACAGGCAGGCAGTGTCTGTTTGGATCTCGCTGTCCATTTCGACGTCCTTTGCCTGTATCAACGAGCGTGGACCGGGCAGCTCCGTCCGCGCTGCAGCCATGACGACAAGCAAGCTGAAGGAATACAGCGTGAGTAAATGCGGGCCAACGTGGCTATGGGAGATGTCACCGTTATGGAAACTGCACAAGCAGCTCAGTCGTGCCACCGTGGATCCCTTGACAAACTCCTCCAAGCAGATGACACATTCCGTTCCAATGAGGGCGCTCTCCGCCGGAAGCTTGTACACAAGGTACTTTGCGGTCTGAGGGGGCTTGCCCGTACCGCCCTCCAGACAATTCTTCACATGTGATTCCTGGGCGTAAGGAGGGCCTAGATCAGACAGTGCAAGCTGGCAGACGGGACATCTACGAGCACTGTTAATGGGAGGCTTGTGTAGTAATGAAGGAGTGCACTTACTCAGCAAGGTCGCTCAGCTGCGAGCTGGACTGGGCGCGAGTAGGGCTCGGTATGTTGAGTCGCCTCTGATCGATGAATATCCTCTCCAAAGACGTCGTGCGTGACGCCGCCAAGCCGTTGGGAACTGTGGCCGTGACTTCCTCGTAGCAGTTGAGACAAACACGTTGCTGGGTTGCCGATGGAGGAGCCTCCGGGAACGATGGGTCGTGTACGATGTCGGAGGGATCGAGAAGGACCCTTTGCGACGAACAGCGGTCACAGAAGATACGTCCACAGCGACGACAATGCTAGAGGGGATGTGAGTAGAGGAACAGAAGGCTCTGGCCGGGGCTCAACGTACATGCTACAAGCACAAATGATTAGTACAAGAGCTTGCATATCAGGAGGCGGCTCACTCTTCGATTCAGGAAGTTGAAGCGACGACGGCATTCACGACACTCCGACACCTGATCATCTCGTTCCCACGTTGCGTGAAGCTGATGAGGGGAAGGCGTTGACCATCGCGGCGTGAGCACCTTCTGGGGAGCTTCGTGGGTGGGCACACGGAACTCCGGAGCCTGTGACAGATGCGGCGTAAGATCTGTGGGCCCTCTAGAGCTAGTGGCGCGACCGAAGTAGTCGGTGGTCGTCGAACGTATCGACGGTGCGCGAGTGGTTTCTATAGGAGAAACTCCTGGGTAAATGAACTCCTCTTCATCGTCATCGTCGTCGAGATCGATATAGTCTACCATGCTCATTGAGGAACCGAGAGTGATCCGTGTAGAAAGATGGGCTCACCGTCGCCAGAGATGAGCAGCCCTTGCGCACCGGCAGCAAGTCGTCTCCGTTCCAACTCCCGGTTGTAGGCGTTCAGAAGAACCTCAGCCTGGATCTTGCGCTCGTTATCGTCATCACCTTGTCTACCGTCAATGTAAGACTATTGCAACCTGTCATTAATTCACTCACCAAGGAGACCTTGTCGAAGCTCTGTCGTAGCACGCTCGAGCTTCGCAATCATCCGTCTCGCCTCTAACGCAGAGCTCATGTCGTCGTCATCCGGATGCGGCGTACCGACCAAGTACCTCGCCCGCGCGACATAGTCCTGCGAACCCAGTCCCGAAGCCGGCATCGCGCTCATCTCCTGTCCATCGCTGCCACCGAAGTCACTGACGCCATCTTCGTGCTCAACATAGGGTATAAGCTGTCCATCCGCCAGATGGTACATGGCGCCATCAGGCAGGAGGAACGGTAGCGGAGGTATATCGAGTCTCCGCCGCATTACACGCACCCACCGGCGGCGGCGCACCCACGACTGTGGTGCGTGCGTGCTAGTGCTAGTGCTCCCGTGGCTACTGCTTCGGCTGCGAGAGCCTCCGCCCCCTAAACCAACCGCAACTGCGCCACTACCGTTGAGCAGACGTTCGAGCTGCGCAGGCGGCTCGGCAACCCACTGGTCGTCTGGATCAGAGAACGAATGGGCATACTGCCAACCTTCTTGAGCGTCGACACCAGGAGGGGTAACGTCTAACGTCCAATCAGACCTGTGTATTAATCAGCAACTACTCGGATAGAACTCCCAGAGAGGTCATACTTACAGCCAGAAATGACTACGCTCCGCTCCCTCTCGCGATGAGCCTGGCTTCGGCAGAGTGAAAGGGTCCTCACGCAGGGGAAGTTGCACGTCGCTACGCCACGCGCCAATCTTCTTCCCGCTTGTCTCGGAGGCGACGGGGAGGACGAGCTCAAATGGCGGCTGCCGTCCGCGGCGACCCAGCCCAGAAGCTGAGAACCTGGGACGACCGCCCGAAACCGCTAGCGTCTTCAGACGAACATCGAGTCGCTGATTTTCGTACAGTATCAAGGGAACAGTCGTGTGTACCCCCAATGGGTTGTAAGCAACGCTCGAATCGCGCCACTTCTCTGATTCAAATCGCTGGAGGACCTGCGAGCAGATCCAGTTGTGCCCTGAAGAGTTTCATACCATCGGGTGCTTACCTCACAGACCCAGATTTCGAAGACGGCTGCAGCAACATCGTACGCAGTCTCTCCCCAATTATTCCGGACTAGTGGGTCGGCTTGCTGTTTTGTCAGAAGGTAAAGAACAATGGGCAAATGTCCTTTTGATGCAGCGTTCACTTAATGCACACGTGAGCACTCCACATGAACGGGGCACACAACTTCCGGGTGACTCACTCAGAGGCGTCCATCCGCCCTTGCTCCGGACATCCACACCCGGCGCTCCTTCGATTTCAGAAGTAGCACCTCCTCTCTCGCAGAGCCAGCGGACGATGTCCAAGTAACCCTGATGCATCTCAGCATAGATCGCTAACTTAGGATGTAAATGTCATCGCACCTTGGAGCACGCGTTATGCAACGCAGTCCATCCATCCGCATCCTTGACATGCACGTCTGCCTTCTCCGGTAGCAGATACGTGATTACGCTGAGGTGTCCGTTCAGGGCAGCCTTGTGCAACGCGGTCTGGAGACAGCCATATGAGGCATTGGTCAGACACTGACCCACGCTCTCGAAATGGCACCAGCAGCCCTCGGACCTACCTCGCCCTCCTTGTCTTCAATATCGGGAATAGCACCACATTCCTCCACGACTTCACGAAGAGCTCAGACGCGTCGAAACACGTAAGAATGCCGTGAAACACGTACGCCACTTCACGATGTCCAGCCATCCTCTGCTTGCGGCCGCGTGCAGCGCCGTCAGGCCCGTCCTCGGCGAAGCGTCGTTCGCCAGTTCAAACGGCTCCACGTCATCCGCGCGTACTGTCTTCCTGAATTCCGTCTGGACGCGTCGGAGGTCGCCCGAGGCGGCTGCCGCGTGTAGCGCTTCGAGCTGGGCGGGAGAGGGGTGGCGCTTGGATGGTACGAGGGAGGGAGCTTGTACGGGCTGCGCCTGGACGAGAGGCTCTGGCGTGGGCGTATCGGCACAGGGAGGCGGAGATACGTGTAAAGACTCTTGTGACGACTCTGGCTCCTGCAGAGGCTGATACTCGAAGGTCGAATCGGACTCTTGCTCCGGGTCCGGCGCGCTGGCAGGAGTTTCGTCGGCCTCGGTGCCAGGATACACAAACTCTTCCTCGTCCGAGTCGTCGTGCATGGGTGGCGAATCCGAAACAGGTGACGGCGTGGAACTGGCGACTCTGCGATGCGGGGGATGAATATGAGCATGCGGGCATTGGTTCCAGCGTTTCGGCTCGGACATGAGCTGGCGGACTACAACTTACTCTTCGATAGTACTCAGGTGGGACGAAGGGTGCAGTGAGCCGCCGCTCATATAGCAAAGACTCGAAGACAGCGAAGAATCGGCGCAGAGGGCGTCCTCGAGGCTGCTTCGGCAAAAAGTTCGGGACTAGTACTTACTCGCTATTGCGTCACATGACCGCCACCTCGGATAATGAAATGATGGAAGAGCGTCTCTTGACTCGTACTTAATTGTAGAGGCGCCCTCTCTATACAGGTGCAATTGCTACACAATGACAAGACTATTGGAACACAATGAGTGTCTATAGAGTTGTAAGTATCATGAGGATTCATTTCCTAAGGCAAACCGCGCGAGAGAATAAGCGCTGATCCCGCGTAGCCTATCATCTCGACATTCCGAAGGTTTCGACGTGCAAGGTGACGGACGGTGCACCTTTCAAAACGCTCGCGGGACTGGCGAGCTTAGAAGCCAGTGCGCGAGACACCGACGTTGTGAGAGACGTAGGACCAGATACTGCAGAAAAAGCTTGTTTTAGCGAACAACGTCCCCCGACAATGGCCAGACAGGGAGCACGCACCATCGACCGAGACGGGGCCCGAGGAGCCATCGACGCCCTCCTGGAGGATCCGGCGGATACTGGGTTTCCCGTGGATGATCTTAAGTGAGGAGTAAACAGGAAGCTCCTTGTCGACCACCTCCCCAGTTTCCGAGTTGGTGGACGAGCCATCGTATGCGGTACCCGGTATCTGCGGGATGGTACAAGTGGGTCCCGTGATGTACACCGTCGGCTCCACCGCGAGCGATGTCGATCGCGCGGCAGCCGAGGCCTCGCACAGACTCTTGGAGATCCAGCTGAGGTGGTCTGCGTTGCGGAGGCCGTCTCCGTGAGAAGCGATGCGTAGAGTGGAACTGCGACGGAAACATACCTGACTCGCGGACGGCCCATATGAAGATCACGCGGCGGACGTGCGTGTTCCCATGTCGCGCGCGGCTAGGAAAAGGTTCGGATGAGTTTTGCATATGATGCTATGCCGTGGAAGGAGGAGCATGACGTACCGCACAAGGTCCAATAGGAGCGGCAGAGTGTAAGACACGCCAGAACCACCTTGACACGTCATCGTAAGCCAAGCCTATATGGGACGCGGGGCCGATAGAGCGTACGCACCAGCGATAAGGATGCACGTCGAGAACTTCGTCAGATCCGGCGGGCACCCATAAGGCCCATCGACGAACGCCGGCACGCGACAGACGCCATTCCTGGACGCAAACTCCCGAAGACGACCCGTGAAGCCCGTCCGGCCGCGGATAAGGAACACCACGTCCTTCTCTACATTGCCATCGTTGCCGTGCAGCGACTGGGGGATGCTCGCGATTGTGAAGGGGTGTGCCTCGCTCGGCATCCCGCTGACGGTGGGCAGGATGACATAGGCGTGCTGGCCCGGACGCCAGTTCATCTTGCGACGGAGAGTCATGCGGATCGTGTCCGAGGAAACAAGCTCGACGGTTGCGGAGCCATACCCGTGCCGCGTGCCACCCCGGCCTCTGTTGTTCCAGATTAGCCGAGCAGTGCGCAGGACGCGGTCGAAGGCCCATACGACCAACGCGGGCCAGAAGTAATCGCCGTAGCTGCGGAGAGTAGAGCCAACGTTAGTCCAGCTTACTTTGACATGAGCATATGCGACGATAAGATAGAAGGACGTACTCGACTGCCCGTGCATGAAGATAACCGCCAACGATGAAGATTCTGAGCAAGATGGACACAGAAGAATCAGTATCAACTGGCGGAGGTTGATACACATGATACTTACCCTACAAGAGCGATGTGGGACAGTAGGAAGAACTCAAATAGCGCGTTTCGGATGAAGCGGACCGACAGGACTGTCAACAGAGTGAATGCCGTCAAGCCCACAGCGCCCCAGCGCATCCACCCATGGCTAAAATCGTGAGACGGGGGCAGGCTGTGGAGATGTCGGTAAGTGGTCAGTCGCAATCATAATCACAGCAGTCATGTCACGCACCCCGAGATGGCTCGACTGAGAGCGTGCACCCAGAGGAGAATGAGGCAAGTCCTGGCGGCTGCGCGATGAAGTATGTTCAACTGTAGAGTCGTGTCAACTTCGCTCAGCAAACCCAAGGTGACTGTGGGAGAACCTTTTCGTGTCCGATGCCAGTTATTACTACCGTACTCGTTTCGATCAGTAGTCCGACGATAAGAGACGATGCAGCACTTACGAGAGATGAGGTTATTTTTTCCAGCCAGTGCGACAATGAACGGGAGCTGACAGGACGCGAGATGCGCGCCACGGTCCTCGAAGAACCAATAGCTCGCATCCATGGCTAACATGCGCAGCGCTTACGTCAACGGCGCTTACGTGCAGTGTAAACGAAGACGTACTGTTCGTGAACGTGAGCGCAAGCATGGTTGCTATGTAACCGAGGATGAAGAACAGCTCCGCAAAAGACGCCCCTCCGACGCCGAGCGGAACCTGCACACGGAAGGCGATGATTCTGAAGCCGGATGCAATGGCCGCGGGGATGCGCCGCCATGAAGCCTTGCCAGTCCGCCCGGGGAGGACCAATTCCGGAGACGAACCCTTCTCCAGCTTTTCGACGGTCGAGTCGAACTCTCCAGTCGGGGCGGGGCGTCGGAGGAAGAGGAGCGAGAAAGTGAGGCGGAGGAGACGGACGACGAAAAGGAATGCGAGGATGGATGCAATGATCATCCACATCCGCTCGACCGCCGCCTTCTGTTGAGCGACCTTGAACTGGATGTCGGCCTCGGTAGGCTTGAATCCGCGAGCGCGGAGAGTCATGTCGAACGTTGGCCAGGACATCGTTGACTGAGGGCCGAGCGCGTCTCGAGGGGTCTCTTGCTGAGGTCGTGGCGACTGGATATGAATTGTATTTATATTATCTGACCTAGGTACACAGGCGAGCAACCTCTTCGGTCAACCGCTGCTTCCAGCAGAAAGCCCCGACGCACCCGCGTGATAGTCTGACATCGGCCACAAGGAACATATCGTACCTATTCTGAGAAGCGATCGCAGTGTCCGCTGTCAAACGTTGTGGTGAATGACCGTCAAGATACCATACATTGCACCTGTATTAGGACCGCGGCGGCGCTAGTCGAGAATGCGGGGTAAACATCTCGAAATGCTCGGGACAATTGAATTTTCTGTGGGGCAAGTGCATTGGTGCCTCGAGGGCGTTCGGGAACGTAAGCAGCGTACAATACTGATGCCGCATTGACCAAATCCGAGCTTGGCTCCGGTCCTGTCGGCGGCGGAGGCTCGGATAGTCGACGGTTAAGATTCGGTCCGCAAGTCTATCGAAATCGTCGGAAGGGCGTTATCGCCAAACAAGCGGCCAATGGCGCGAAGGATGATTTTTCAACCAGAACGTTCTGGTGGTCTGAAACAGTGTGCAGAAGAACATCTGACATGAGCAGAAAGCGCACGGTCAAATACTAATGAACATCGAAGAGCGCGACATTAACCTTGCACGACGCCACGATCGCATGGGTAGCAGAATTAAACCATGATGTCCCAAGCATGGCCGGAAACATCTGCTCTGGCGTGTCCAAGGAGGAGGAAGAGATAGATGCCGTAAGTGACGGCGTACAATGCGGCGGCCTCCATGCGCTTCCCGAGGCCTAAGGGACCCGCTTCGGGCAGCGGACCTCGACTCCTCATCCAATCGCGTCCGCTGCGTATACTGACCAATCAAGTCATGCGTATCTATCAAGGGAAGAAGGCCAAGGATCAGTCAAGAATGGCCAGCGAATACGCAGTGCCGTACGTTCCAACCAAGTCACAGAGACCTTCTTGGACCAGGAGCGCCATGTGCTACAGCAGATCCTTCGCCGTGGAAATAGGGATGTGTGGAACTGGACTCGTCAGAGCTCGGAAGATGCCAATTTCTCGCTACCAACGACGGCTGGGTCCTTAGTGCATTGTCTACGCCTGCTGGGAGATGCGGCACTCACTGAGCTGATCAGTCCTCCGTCCGCGGACTCGGACGTTCGGCATGGTAGACTTGATTAAAACTACGAGCTACGCCGGATATGACCGGTACCCGTTCAGCACGAGCGGTGAAACATATGCAGCCACGCAGCAAACATCTTTCAAGGAGAACTTGCGGTAGCTTCTCGGCCCGCGGGGGAGAGGTGGGAGGAGAAAGCTGTCGAAGGCTGAACCGGTTACCTCGTCGCCGTGACGTAAGCCCAAGTAGGGGTTTTGCCGCTTCCTGCCGCCGCGTCGAGTGTGGGCAAAGCATTGGACCACTTGGGAGAGCACCCGGACTGTACATGTACACTCACTCCTCGCTATCCCCGCGGGGCTGTCGCCGACGACCCACGGTTCGCCAGTGAACGTGACACAAACCACTGGAGAAAGCGAATGTATTGATCATGAGTGTCGCACCATTCTCGAGAGGGTGGCTACATAAGCGTTTGCAGACGGACAACCGCTCGCAACATCTAAGGCTCTCGACTCTCCTGTATTGTATGCTGAAGATGGGCTTAGAGTAGGTTTCGAAGTCTTCGAGAGCAGGTAAGGAGAGGCTCGGACTCCAACTCGAAAGCTGATCATCGGAATGAACGGTGACCGGGTACAGCTTGCGAGGCGCTGACGCGATGGTGGTCGGGGATTGAGTGATCTAAGCGAGACCTCCGGGCTCTGACGACGACGCCCTGGACTATCGTATCAACCTTTCGTCGGCGGTCTGTGGCCTGCCTATATATCCTTGCAAAAGCCGGGGATCCCTCCAGACAAGTGTCTGACTCGATTCTGCCTGAGTCCCACCCCTAGTGCTCCCCGAGTGCACGGACGAAAATTGTCTCCGCATCTTGCCCGACATCTGACCGTGACCCCGCTTCCTCCTCCAGGACTTCCGTTCACCATGACCATCAACGGTACTACCTCCAACGGCAAGGACCGCTCGCAGCTCATCCCCTTCTCTTCTCGTCTTCGTGAAGGGAGGGCGCTAGCTCAGGACGTCTGGTCGATCTTCAAGTGCGTGCAGGCAATAGGGATACCCGCACGGGACAGGCTGACTCACCTGCACAAAGTGCTGCTAACCTCCCCGCGGACTGCATCAACCTCGGACAGGGATACATGAACTTCGGGCCTCCGGAATGGATCAAGAGTGCGGCAGAGGAGGCGTTGAACACGGTCGCGACGAACCACTACTCGCACCCGAAGGGCCGTCCGCGGCTGCGGGAGGCGATCAAGGCGCACTACGAGCCGGAGTTTGGGAGGACGCTGAACGCAGACACGGAGATCCTGGTGACGAGCGGTGCGAACGAAGGTGGGTTCAGTGCAGCTCGCTGTCGATCACCGCACGCCTTCGTCTGCTGATGCCCGGCGCCAGGCCAGTACTCTGTCTTCGTCGCCTTCCTGGAGCATCGCGATGAGGTCATCATGTTCGAGCCGTTCTTCGATCAGTACCTCCCGTCCGTCACCTTCAACGGCGGTGTCCCCGTCTACGTCCCCCTCCATCCTCCTACCGCCGCCGGCAAACAGAGCAGCCATGAGTGGTCCATCGACTTCGATGAACTCCGGTATGCATTATCGTATCGCGTCGGGACTGTTGTATTCATCCCTTCACTAGGCGTGCTGTTACCCCCCGCACAAAAATGATCATTCTCAACACGCCTCACAACCCAGTCGGCAAGGTCTTCACCAGGCACGAGCTCGAACAGATCGCGGCCATTGCAGAAGAGCACAACCTGCTCGTGATGTCCGACGAGGTCGTGAGTATACCATCCTCTGTACGACATCGGAGCACTCCCGGATCGCTCATAACGCACCTTGACATCTCAGTACGACTCGCTCGTGTTCGACAACGAAGAGCACGTCCGCATCGCCACCCTTCCCGGCATGTGGGACAGGACGGTCACTGTAGGCTCTGCAGGCAGTACGTCATTTCCCCCTATCCGACGACACCGAGCATCGCACCGAGCGCGCTGACCGCGTCCCCTTTCCTTCTCCGCAGAGATGTTCGCGGCGACTGGGTGGCGCGTAGGCTGGCTCATCGGGCCCCCTTCGATCATCCAGCCCACGCTCGCTGCCACCACGCGCATCGTGTTCTGCAGCAACTCGCCCCTGCAGGAGGCGTCTGCCGCCGGCCTCGAGCAGGCGAACAAGCGCGGCTTCCTCAAGAAGCAATTGGACGAATACGCCGAGCGTCGACGCATCCTGACGGCCGGCTTTGACCAGCTGGGGGTCAAGTACACGAACCCCCAAGGGACCTACTTCGTGTTGCTGGTATGTATCGTATGAGCCGACTTTGTCGTGCGTCCAGCGGCTGAGTCTTGGCTTGGCACAGGACATCAGCAACTTGCAGTGGCCCGACGATTACCCATTCCCGGAGAGCGTGCTCGGGAGGGGTCGTGATTTCAAGTGAGTCATCTCCCCCTTCTACACCCGTATGATCTTCCGCTGAATCTCGTTCGTATTTAGGGCATGTTGGTTCATTGCGATGGAAATCGGCGTGTCATCCATCCCTGTCAGCGAGGTATGCCTCACGTCACAGTAGCCCGTACACATGTTCACCACACGTTTGTGCCTAGTTCTACTGCGAAGAGCATGCTTCCATTGGGGAAGCATACGCCAGGTTCGCGTTCTGCAAGGATTTCGACACCCTGAAGCACGCGGTGGAACGCCTGCAGAAGCTCAAGCAGTACCTCGTATGATTCTCCGGCGGCCCTGCGTAACGCTAGGGCTCCCGTCGGAACAGCCGCAGCAGTCATAGAACAGAAGTCACGAAAAGTTGTTGTGCAAATAGTCACATGGGTGGATATGACGGCGTCGTTATTGCTACATAGGTCTTGGTTGATTCCAGCCAGCCGCTCACTACCGTTGTCCGAGTCGTACGATACATTTCTAAGCCTCTAACTTATCCACTATCCTTGAGAGGAGCTCGTTGACGGCGATCGACCGCGCATCGTAATACGCCGGGTTGCTCACCAAGCGTCGCGCCAAGAACGTGAAAGACAGCGCGTCGACCCCCTGCTGCTTGTCGGCGATGGCCCCATCCTTCCGCCTGTCCTTGTACCAAGCCCGCAGCGTCTCCGTCTCGAGCAGCTTCGACTCGAGCGGCAGCCCGTCGTTCAGGAATCGGGTGATCGTGTCCTTGCCCTCCGCCTGGCAGAGCAGGTAGAACCGGCCCGCACCGTTATGTCGGACCGCCTTGCTCTGCATCCGGACGATCTCCTCGAGCGGGTAGTCGCGCAGCTGGCGCTCGTCGCTCCCGGGCGGCACGTAGAAGTACTGCGTGCCCATCACCACGACGGTGACCGCCCGCACGGGGAGCGTCCAGCACGCGTCGCGTGGTACGATGAGCACCCGGATGAGCCCCTCGGCGTACAGCTCGAGCATCAGAAGCCGGTCGGGCTGCGCGATGCCGGCATGGAAAAAGCCAACGCCGCGCGTGATGAAGTCCTTCAGGCCGTTGTAGTCCTGGAGCCGTGAGAGGTAGCGCTCCAGCCGTTCGATCGAGACGTCGTCCGGGAGATAGCCCTGCGCGAGCATCTCGAGCGCGCACTGCGTGATCAGGTCGAGCGCGACGGGGACGCACTGGTTGCGCGAGGGCACGAACACGATGGCGGGTTCTCCTGGGGCGGCGCGGATCGCTGCATGTGCGGGCTTGGCCATGGCCTTGAACAGCGCCGCCGACTGCGGGATCGTGAACGTGTGCATGATGACGGCGAGCGCCTGGTCGCGGTCGCTCGGCCTGAAACTGTGCAGGGCGAGTGGGTCGACGCTGAGCCATGCCGCGAGGTCGGTCGGGTCGTTGAGGGAGTTGGACAGGCCGACGAAGCGGACGGGGTACGCTTGCGTTGCGTGCAGCAGTAGCGACACGCCCAGCTCGTATACGGCATCGAGCAGCTCCAGACTCTCGCAGAGCACCAGGCGCAGCCGAGATAGAGCCTGCTTGGCGTTCGGGCGCCGGGTCATCGCCGAGAAAAGGTCTGGTGCGGTGACCACCCTGACAGTCCGCCGCGAGGGTCCGTCGAAGAGATGGTCTGCTCCGGCAAGCTCGACAGAAGTCTCTGTTGCCCTCGTTGCTGAGTGCAATTCGGCTCGAAGGTCGAGGGCGACGCTTCTTCGCGGCGCCACGACCAGAGCCCATGCGTCGTTCGGTGAATTGAGAAGAGTTTCCCTAAGGGAGGTGAGAACATGCGCGTCGAGGCACCATGCAGACATGGACTCACCACACTGCCAGTTGGCCGATCACAGATTTGCCGCAACCGGTGGGTGCACAGAGCAATGCATGTGATCGTGTACGGACGACACTCCAGAAGACTTGGCTTTGGATCGCGTTCAAGCCATGCACTCTGTGAGAGAATGCCTCCTGAAGAGCCGGATTCCCGATCACGGAAAGAGGGAGGAATGGAATGTCGAGCCGAGGCGTATGCGATTCAGAAGAGGCCGGCATGATGAGGTCCTCGAAGGAAGCCACGGTCTCCTGCTCGGCCCCAACCCATCGGTCCGAGACGTACCGTATAGTGACGGAGGGCGGAGGTTTATCCTTATTAACCGAGATGACAAAGTCGACGTCTACAAAGGTCGCTGTCTGTCGGAATACCAGGTGCGAAAGCTGTAGGATGTTCGTCCCCTCGTGGTCCTCCACCCATAGCCAAAATGGTTCCACTGAACCGTGAACCTTGCTGCTCCAATTATACTTGCGTTCGACTTTGACAGCGATTTTCAGGACGTCTGGGCCAAGGGGACGTAGGCTGTAGGTTATGTGGACAGCTGGGAATTGCTTGGCGGCGTTCCGCACGGCCTCCCCATGCTTCTGGTTCAGGTGGATGAGCTTTCCTAGCTCCTCGGAACTCATTTCCGCCAGTTCGGCGACGTCGTACTCGTCCGCCCAGCGCTGAAGATTGTGCAGTACCTCAGCCTTCAGACCCTCAAACTGCTTGAGTGGGTGGTCGAATGGCCATAGACGCTTCTCGATGGCTTTACTGATACCCATGAGGACAGAAGCCGCATTGGCCCATTTGCGCGAGATGGCGATTTCGAGGAGACCACGCGCGATACGGCCACCATTTTGGGCGGCATATGCCTGGTCAGAGACAAGTGCGAAGTCCTCTGGTCGGAAGCGGGAGATGTATGCTTGTAAAAGGATGTTGACTTTCCCCGCGCTGGTATCAGTCCCGCCCTGCGTACCTAACTATCAGATCACGACCCGCAGACCGCACGTCGTCGGCTGACCTTGACTTTGCACGGTATCTCTTCCATAAACGCCTTCAGTTCTTCCACCTCGTTCTCCCTGACTTGGATCTGGTCAAACTGTAACTTGGTAAGCCGCAATGCTCATCATTCCCAATAAACGACAAATGAACCTCTGTGCTGTCACACAGCATGGCCAAGACGTCCGCCTCAGTCATCTTCTCTCTAAACTGTTTGATGAAGATTTCGACCGATTTGTGCCGGATGTAGTATTTGGCGGCGATTCGTCCGAGGTCAGTGATAACCAAGCTTCCGGTGCCACGGTCAAAAGCGATCATGCGGGCCTCTGCTAGCTGGGACGCCGCCGCAGTGATCAATGAATTCCGCTTAGCACCGAGTGTTGGATCGTTTGCTACTTCATCCCAGGGCATGCCTGGAGCACATGCCTTCAGAACAGTCCAGCGCTCCAAGTTCCACGCTGGACCTCACCGTATTGAAAGGGACTCTTCTTCATGCGCACGAACAAGTACGTGTAGCTGAGCCACTGTACCGCATCATGCACGTTCGCGACTGTGCCCAATGCTATTTCTGCATTTAGGGCGTCGACCATGCCTGCGACGAACCTGCCAATATATCGTCGGACTAGGCCATGTGAAGGAGTCAAGAATACTCTCACCTGGACTCAATCGGCACTTGAGATGTCACGGCATCGAGATAGTGTGAAAGCTTCTCCTCGTTTGTGCAAATGTAGCCCACACCGCTCGACTCTAGACCCGGCCGTCCGGCTCGTCCGAAGACTTGCAGGACGTCAAGGACGGAGAGATCGGTGAAGGCACCTTTCGAGCTGTCGTACACTTGCGTTCCCTTGATGATGACTACAGTCACAGAGTCACTAACCCAACTGGTGCCAAGCATGCTTGGACCTACCAGCATGCGCAGGCAGATTGACACCCCACGCCAGCGTCGCCGTACAACAGAGTACCTGCGACAAAGTGAGTCCCTACATTGACAATTCTTCTTCTTAGACCAACCTTGATCGCCCGTGCTTCGAACATCCTTTCCATCATGTTCCGGTCCTCGCGCAACATACCGGCATGGTGTATACCAAAGCCAAGGTCGAAGAGCTGCTTCATCTCCTTGTTCCTTGACTTCGCGATGTCCCTCCGGAAGTACTCAAACTGCGGGTGCTCCTGGCAGCTGAACTCTTCCAGCGTCCCATCAAGCTGCGCCTCTTCTCGGATAGCCTCAGCTGCCTTCACGGTTTCCTTTCTCGCGTGGACAAACACCATCACCTGGTGGCCCTCGTGGACAAGCTCCGAAACCTTGTCATAGACGACCTTGTCCATGTTCTTCTTCGCCGTAGGGCTGTTGGGCTTCCCCTTTACACCAATGAAGTGTTGCTCTAAGGGCACGGGACGGAAGGATGAATCAAAGTAGAATAGTCCGGTGTGACGATTGACGCTGCAACCGAAGCTTCAGGAGATGCGGTTTAGACCAGAGCAGCGGACCGACCTCAGGAAATCCGCGACGTCAATGTAATTAGGTAGTGTTGCACTAAGGCCGACAATCCGAATAACTGATTGCGAGGACTCGACCTGACCCATGAGAGGGTTACTACTCCTTGACGCTTCAAATACTAGGATTAGATATCTAGCTCACCTGCCGCAACGTACGAGCAACAATGGTTTCAATGACAGCACCACGCTCGTCGTTAAGAAGATGGACCTCGTCAATGATGAGCAACTTGACTTTCTGCATCGCACTCCCCCAGCTCAGCTTCAAGCCACGAACGCGACTGCATATCACTAACCGAGGCAAGCTCTCCTTCTCCAGTAGGCTTCCGAGTGACAACATCCCACTTCTCAGGAGTGGTGACGATGATCTGCGTCTCGTTGATCTGCTGCTTTGTGAGCTGCATATCACCTGCCAGGGCATCAATGACGAAGGAGAATTGCTACGCTATGGCGGCGTACCCGTAAGTTCGCGCACAGAGATCGACAACCACTTCAGTCGCCTGCCTAGCTTGCGCGTTATCTCCGCTGCAAGAGCCTTCATGGGTGCGCTGGCGTGTAACGATGAATCCTGTCCATGTTGTTAACTTGGCCAGGACTCACACATAGATAATCTTGAAGTTATCCCGCGCAACGGCAGCTGCCATGTTGCCATGTGGCGCCAACTGCTTAAGATGTTGGCTGATGACTCGGAGCACTGTGAGCATCGCAACATCAGTTTTACCCTGGACCACTATGAGTAAAGGTACGGTCGACACAGAGGTCAGTGACTGACAGCACCGGTAGGAGCTAAATGAGAACGTGTGAATTTGAGTGATATGGTGTCATTGCGTCGAAATGCTGACCACAGACGAGCATGTTCTCATTTGACTGGTATGCAGTGGGGTACACGATGGACTGGATTCTGTTGAGTGAGGTGTAACCCTGCAAACGATTGCTTCGTGATACAAGCCACACCCAAGATTCTAAGAGACGTACCGGAAACGACCCTTTCGCCAGAGGGTCCAATTCAGCTACAGATATAAGTCGTTCCGATGCCCGTGGAGGAACGACTTTCGCTGGGGGTACTGTAACCTCCTCGTATTCCTAATGGTCATACGGTGTTAGCTACTGGAAAACTTCCGCATACGTGCCAAACTAGCCTCGTGCGCTACTCGGGTTGTCCCAATGGGTAGCATGTAGCGTTGTCCAGTATGCGATAACATGTTCCCCTGCATGATGGAAGAAGAGGTATACACGTGGGGCAGTACCTCCGGAGCCGTGTGCTATGAAAGACGTCATTATGGACAGCTCAGTAGAAGCATGATCTGGTGGCAGTAGCACTTGCCGCAGTACCGCTGAACAGCGGACGCTCAGCATTCGCACGCAAAGTCTCCTCCATTCGTCTCCTGGCCTCTCCAGGATCTAGGATACCGGTTACAGTGAACAGCTCTGCGCAGACGGCATATAGTTTCAGCGGTAGGTAAAACCAGCAGTACCAGGACGTACCTTCTCGTTTTCGTTCTTCACCGTAACCACTCACGCGCACGGGCTCGGCGGCCTGGTTTCCGCCTTGCAGATACTCAGAGAGTTGTTGAGCCACCTCATGACGGTTCTCGAGCAATTCCATGGACAACTCGATGTTGTCGAACCCAACCATCTCCACCAATTCCTCAGATATAGCATCGTTCGCCCTCCCGGAAGAAAGAAGTGTCAACATGGAGTGAAGGAGAGGCTGGAGATTAGGTTTCCTGTCAAAGGATAGCAGACAAGAAGTGTGAACGGGGGAAAGGAAATATATTGTTCGAAGGCTACACACGACAAGAGATTGGAGAGCAGGGCACCATGCAAAGGCTGACTAGTTGCAGTCGAAGATTGTCCTAGCACTTCAAGTACGGATTCCCACTGCTCGCCTTGTTCGAGGTGGGGGTCCTCAGAAGGTGCAGCGGCTGGGCACAAACATAAGCCCAATAGACCAGGACTACACCAGGGCTAGGAACATAACGTACAGCTCCCAGAAACGCTGTACCTGAGAGCACGCGTACTCAGTCACAAGATAAGAGAGGGATGTATTCTGAACAGACCTAGCCCAGTAATCGAGGAGGCGTTTGTCGCGATCTCCGGAATCTTCAGGCGCGCTTACAAGATATTCCAGGTGACTTGCTAGGCTCGACGTCGGCGCCATTAGAGTCGAAGGAGTCTCGGAAGTAGTGGAATGAGGTGATTATATGCTGTACAAGGTGATGTCTTGAGAGTCGAAAATGTAATCTATGAAGGAGAGGCGAATTTTGAAAAGCACTCGAGAGGTGCAGTCACAACGCACTCGGAACCGGCGGTACGGAGTGTAGCAAGTAGGCGCCCGTTTCGACCGAGGATCTGAGTACTTAGCGCTATGTTGCCCAATTGAGGCATAGAACTGTCTCCCGATGGTTTAAGCTTATCGCTCCTCTGCTGGTTCCTCTCCTTATCTCTTCGACTAATAAATTTCGGACGTGGTCTGGCATGGCCTCCGCCCAGGTTGAATTGCCTTTACGGCAGCATAGGCTTCCTGAGTGACTCCCACCCCACCCTGACCTCTTCAACGTCCGTCAGCCATGTCGCTGCACTCGGTCACCACTGACCAGCCGGAGAAGCGTTCCACCCTCTCGCCTTCTCAGTCTCCGCAATCTGACTCTGAACGTGCAATCAACACCGGCGGACGGGTGGAGCGCATCAAGCGGAAGATCACTACAAGACATGGATGGCTTGGGGACTACGACTACGTGTGGCTTTGCATGCCTAGTCTTCCTTGGAGGCGCGGAGGCAGGAGAACGAAGACTGGCCCCCCGTTCTATGCACTCGACTCCGAGCTACCTCTTGTTCTTGCTGCAGCAAGCGGGCTGCAACATGCCCTTGCTATGCTCGCGGGTTTGATCACCCCGCCGATCATCTTCGCGAGTGCGCTCAACTTGGACTCCGAGCTCTCCGCCTACATGATTTCTGCGTCGCTCATCGGCTGTGGTGCGTGCCTTGTTGCTCAAGTCACCTGCGCGTGCTGCTCAATAAGTCAACTCAATAGGTATCCTCAGCTTGGTGCAGATGTCTCGGTTGCACCTGTTCGGAGGGTACTATCTTGGGACTGGCCTCATCTCTGTTGTGGGGACAAGTTTCGCTACACTGAGTACCGCAAATGCGGTATGTACTGGCTGACAGCTGTGGCAGTTGTGCACCGAAACTGATTGCACCCAGATATTCAACGCTATGTACGCGGATGGAACATGTCCGTCTACGACTGCTGCGGATGGGACGGTCACGCGAGGACCGTGTCCAGACGCCTATGGCAAGGTGCTGGGTAAGTGGAGGACATTCACCGCTTGGAAATCCTTACTCAACCCTTAGCAGGGACGTCGCTCATCTGCGCTTTCTTGGAAATCTTCATGTCGTTCATCCCGGCTCGGGCACTGAAGCGAATATTCCCGCCCATGGTCACAGGTATAATACACTGTTCGTGCGCTGTTGAGCCATGCTGACCGTTATGTAGGCACCGTCATTGTGATGATTGGCGCCTCTCTCGTTGGTTCGTCTGGTATGCCCAACTGGGGTGGAGGATCCAGCTGCATGAGCCGCCCGACCTCCGGATTCTTCCAGCTTTGCCCAAACATCTCTGCACCGCGGCCACTTCTTTGGGGTTCACCGGAATTCATCGGCCTCGGTTTCTTGTCCTTCGTCAGCATCATCCTTACCGAGCTATTCGGATCGCCCTTCCTCAAGAATATCTCCATCATCGTCGGCTTGGCGGTCGGATGTATTGTCGCTGGAGCGGTAGGATATATCGATGGAAGCAGCATCAAAACTGCTCCTGCGATCACTTTCCTATGGTTGGTGGTCCCTAGCCGGTATACTGCATCCGTTGACCTTGCGTATACAGGGTACATACGTTCAAGATTGGTGTATATCCCCCTGCTATTCTTCCTATGCTGGCCGTCTACGGTAAGTTCCATGAGGAAGTGCTGAGTGTCGGTTGTCTTACGGGCTCTGCAGTCTCCCTTGCCATGGAAGCGATCGGCGACGTCACCGCTTCCGCCGAGGTCTCCCGTGTTGCCGTCGTCGGGGAGGAGTTCGATAGCCGTATCCAGGGTGGTGTTTTGGTGAGCACATCTGTTACTTCGACTTCGACTTAGCGTATCTGATCCTTTCTTGACAGAGCGACGGTATCGGTGGCTTCCTCTCAGCGCTATTCACTGTGACGCCGCTTTCCATCTTCGCCCAAAACAACGGCGTCATCGCGATCACCCGCTGCGCGAACCGAACAGCAGGTCGTTTCTGTTGCCTCTTCCTTATCCTCTTCGGCGTCCTCGGCAAGATCTCGGGCGTCTTCCTGGCCAGTACGTACTATACGCCACGCTAACAAGCGCATATGCTCACCTGATCCATCGTAGTACCCAACCCCGTCCTCGGAGGCGTGACGACCTTCCTGTTTGCCACCGTAGCGACGTCCGGCATCCGCGTGTTGTCGTACAACCGCTTCACTCGACGTGATCGCTTCGTCCTTGCGGCCGCCATGTCCTTCGGCGTGGGCGATCTCCTCGTCCCGACGATCTTCACGCATCTATTCGACGGCGTCAAGCACCCGAACAAGGGTCTGCAAGGTCTATTCGACTCGATCACTATCGTCCTCTCTACCCCTTGTGCGTACCGTTTACACCCTGCCACCGATCTCAGTGCTGACGGACCTTACCTGCAGTCCTGGTTTCTGGTCTGGTGGCTCTGGTACTCAACCTGATCCTACCCCAAGACGACATGGATGACGACGACGACGACGTTGTGGAGGTCGTGGACGACGTCGAGGCGCACCCCCATAGCAAAGAGAAAGCAGCTGTCTAGCGCGTATGCTTGTGACATCGTATTAAGCAGCCACCTAGGAATAAACCCCGTGTATTCGTCTTTCTCATCGTCTCTATACCGGAAGCTAGGTATGCATGGGGGTGTCAAGAGGATACTGGCATGATACAGAAGAAACGGGACAAGACAGGTCACAAGGTATCCTTGCCCCCATCGGACGAGACTCGTCTGCGAGTTTGGCGAGGGTCTTCATCATGCGTATGATACACGTGGTCAATTACAGAATTAGATGGCATTGTCCGAGCAGAGTCATCCACTGCTTCGCACACCTACAAGATGAAAGTAAGTAGTGCAATGGGCCAAATAGCCCAATCGACAATATCGAGAGCCCGGTCGATAACAGAGAGCACCGTGCGGAAGGCGGCCCAGAACAAAGTAAGCGCAGGCGGGAGCACGAAACGCCACAAGCCGTACAAAATGAAGAGGACCAAGATATAACACGTTAGCGCCTCCCAGACCGCAAATTTCATCTCCTCAACGGTCAATACGAGTGTCTCCTCCGGAGCACCGGATCCCTCTACAGTGCGCTCCCAAGCTTCCTCCGGCTCTTCTTGTGTTTCGGGACAAGGAGTAGTTGGATACGCGTTTGGCATCATCCTCTCGCGCGGAGCACGCCCGGTCGGGGCGGAGCCGGATGCAGAGAAGGCCTCTGAGTATGCGTTGCGACCCCGCAGCATCGCCACTATGGCCTTGAGTTCGTCGAGTTGGAGTACGCGGATGCTGGGGCTACGAGGGACGGAGGAGCCATGGTTCTTCAGAAACGCGACGAAGCTGGGCAGATCCGACATGTCGACGTCGAAGAATTGTGTGAGGTGTTCGGCGGGTTCGCGGGCCCGGTAGCCTATGAGGACGCCCGCCCACTCGACGTGCGACCGACCGCCGGTGAGCTTGCGCGCGCAAAGGTTCGGCGGGGATCCATCGATGGCGAAGCTATCCCTAAAAGCGAGGTAAAGTCTGGTGGATGGAGCGCCGCGTGACGAACGCTGGGCGGGACCGACGGGCAGGGACGTGAGGGGAACTGGTCCGCTGAAGTACGTGTTCCAGTCTACGTCGTGTTGCTGCTCCCCACTATACTCCCTACTGGCGCGGATACGGCAGTCGGCTTGAATGACGTATGGAGCCGATGCGTTGGTAGGGAAGAGCAGGAAATCAACTTTGCGCACTTCGACTGGCGTGGGTCTGCGCCTGGGCTTCCTGGAAGCACGACACTCCAGCTTATGGCGCTCGACGTCCTAAAGAATATGCAAGATCATGACCCAGTTTATCCCGTGAGGTCAATCAGGCTCACCAATGACTGATGAAGGAGACGACAGTAGGACACAGCATTGCAAGTAGCGCATCGCAGACGGTCGGATACGGAGTAGCCTACAACGAGGTATGTAAACCTCTGGGATATCGGGCCAGGGAGGTATCAAACCTCCCAAGCCCCTTGCACGTGCTGATACCTTACCAGTGGCCCCAGTGTCGCCCTACCGACCGTCCGTGCGCCCTCCTGTCCCATCAATTAGAGATAGACGACGCGTGAGCACGCGTTCATGTGCCCCTTCTCAATACGATGACGCTCAAACACTCCAGTACGCCGCGGTAAGATATAAGGCGGCAGAGATGGGGTACGAAGAGCAAGGGACGGAGAACATATTGAACGGTGTGGACAGAGCAGGGGAGGAGGGACTGTTAGCTGGAGCAGTGGGGACGCATGTCATCGTATGGCGCTAATCACAATGTATGTCATCGTGTGGCGCTAATCACATTAATCACAACCGATACCCGATGACCGATGACCGGGCCCCTTACC